TTGTTTCCGAAGTAAAAGTCTGACAGAGGATGTGGTGTGTGTGTGCGTGTGTATGTGTGCGCACGCGCGTATATATGTGCGTGTGTAGTTTCGCCCCGAAACACAATGACTGAAACCGGATATGGAGTAACGTCGCCTTCAAAATAAGACTCGATTTTTCATATTAAAAGTCTGGCCTCGCTATCTGATTTTATTACAGTACTTAGAAAAATAAAATTTGTGTACTCCTCCCCCGATAACCCAACTTGAATTTAACATACACTGTGTTATTTAATGATTTATTTTATTTTCATTATAATTTTCTGTTTCAGCCTTAGACCAGATTTCACCCTGAGTTAGAGTTGCATTCAGGCCTAATAAATCCATCCCAGACCAGACCAAGCCCGTAGTTTTTTTTTTTTTTCGAGCCCTATCCGCAGTCCTGGACCCAAAAGATTACTGGTAATTAGAGGACCGAACCCGAACCCCCCCCCCCCCCCTTTTTTTTTTAATTAAGCTTTTACTGCTTTTGTAAACAAATCGGACATGATAGTTTTTAAAAACGTAATGAAAGGAAACTGTAAGATTTATGTTTATTAACAAGTCATCAAATGGATATTAACATACAAAATGAATAACCTAAAAAAATCAACTGTAAAGATAGCCTATTATACAGATGAACAAAAATATTTTTAGAGCAAAATTATTTGAAAAATATACAGTGCCTTGCCCCCTTGAACTTTTCAACCTTTTGCCACATTTCAGGCTTCAAACATAAAGATATAAAATTTTAATTTTTTGTGAAGAATCAACAACAAGTGGGACACAGTCGTGAAGTGGAATGAAATTTATTGGATGTGTCAAACTTTTTTAACAAATAAAAAACTGAAAAATGGGGCATGCAATATTATTCGGCCCCCTTGCGTTAATACTTTGTAGCGCCGCCTTTTGCTGCAATTACAGCTGCAAGTCTCTTGGGGTTTGTCTCTATCAGTTTTGCACATGGAGAGACTGAAATTCTTGCCCATTCTTTCTGCAAAACAGCTCGAGCTCAGTGAGATTGGATGGAGAGCATTTGTGAACAGCACTCTTCAGCTCTTTCCACAGATTCCAGATTGGATTCAGGTCTGGACTTTGACTTGGCCATTCCAACACCTGGAT